TATTGAATACTGTATAGTATAAACTGTATATGGCCTACTGTTTTTATTTATTTGTTTGTTTTTGTATGTTTGTTTGTTTGTTTGTAAGTGAAATAGTTTATAGGCATTATTCCACAATTCACATTTCAAAAGTAGTATGCTACACTATGTAACCTCCACATTGCATGTTTAATTCACTGAGGGTATCCATGTATCATTTTGGAAATTAAAATGGTTATTTTTAATTTTTAATAATTTTTTTGACAGTCCAATCAAATAACGAACCAACAAAGATATGTTAAAAATCATGGTTTATAATAGTTTATTCATTCATCATACCAGAAAAGGAATTTTCAAACATATATTTATATATTTCACATACCATTCAAAACTTTGGGGACAGTAAATGTTTCTAATAAGAATTATATAGTTTTTATTTTTCAAGAATTATTAAATTATTACAAATTTTAAATTGTATTTTATTCAGCAAGGGCACATCAATTTGATCAAATGTGACTGTAAAGAAATGTATTATATTACAAAATATTTTTTTCTCTCTCTTTTAAATACATGCTGTTTGTTTGAACTTTCTATTCATCAAAAAATCCTTAAATGTATCACAAAAATATTAAGTAGCAAAAACAGTTTTTAATATTGATAATAATAACCATTATTAATAATCAGAGCACTAATAATAATTGAGCAGCAAATCACCATATTATAATTGCTGAAAATTTAGCTTTACCCTCACATAAATAAATTAAATTTTAAAATATATTAAAATAGAAATCAGTTACTTTTAATTGTAATCATATTTTGCAATATTACTGTTGTTTTTTTGTGGTTTCTTTTGTATTTTGTATTTTTGATTAAATAAATGCAGGTGAGTATGAGAGACCTCTTATAAAACCCTTAAACAATCTTATTCCAAACTTTTGAATGCTAGTGCTGCTAGCTGCTAATGAAAAATAAATAATAATAAATAAATAAATAACATTGGCTATATTATACCCAAACAATCTGGTTTTCTACATCAATAGCACAGTCTGTTCTTTACTTGTTAGTGAACTTAACTGGGTCCACTTTTCCTCTTCAGCCCCACTGACAGCATTCTTCTTGATTGCCTTTCCTCTATTTTCAGTCATCAGAATTATTTTAATCAAAGCACAAGTCTTACTACGTTTGGGGAGGTTTTGAACTGAGGAGGTTGGGCATAAAATCACCCTGCTGAAGAATGAAATGAAGATTCAGCCTTTGAAGACCCTATAGATATAATGACCAATAGCTCCCTGCTAGGATAAGATCAGCAGAGGTTAAAATATTAGCATATTCATTTTTTTTATCAGTTTGGTTTCAGTGACATATTCGCTTCAGCTTCACACCTGAGGTGTTTGAATCTCGCTTTGATGTATAAACACACTACTGATCCATAAATGGAAAAGCAGGAGACTTTGTATATGCAATCTAGGTTATGCATAAGAAGCTGATGCAGCAAGTGGACCTGGTTTATGGTGGAACTAGGTCATTTTTCACTTTCCTCTGCTTTTGAACTCTTTTGTATGGTTTCAGTTTAGCTTTCTTTTTAATTTGGGGAGATCGGGACCTCTTTTGTTGGAGACTCAAACATTTTCAGTTGGAAATATTTTCATGCCAGATGCTGGGTTTGCATGTGGTCCATTAACTGTGATGATTATTTAAAGAGGTTGCATAAGACGCAAAGCCAAGAAGTGCCAATGAGAACTGAATGCCAATGATCATGTACTGAAAAGACAAACAAATTTGGTGGTTGGTTGGAGCCTTAGGCTGGTATTTTTAGGTATTTTTCCCCACAATTTAATCAAGGTGCATTTTTAAAAAGATGCTTTGGCTTGTTTTTTTAAAGGTTAATGGCAAAAGATGTTCCTTGCAGCCAGATGGTATAGTTACGACCATGGAGGGACTATTAGGGCCATGCTAACCACTCAGATCTTGACCCATTGGTGCCATCCAAGTTAAGACAGGGAGGTTGTGATCTATACTTTGTTCGCACACGCAAAAGCAGGTGTGCACTGAGGGCCTGCTACAGTAAACACAAAGGCCTTGTGGTGTCTGCAGCACAGACTCTTTTACACCTTTTAAGGTTGCACAGCAAATATTCTGAGCCAACTTTGTCCTTGCATTCAGTGCACACCAAACCTTCAGGGGGGTTAGTATTCAAAAGCAAGTTGATTTTCAAAAATGCCTGGATGGCAATGCCAAGTTAGTACATAGAATTTGTTTTTGAATTTGCAACATGCAGGAAATTGGTCAGGAAGCTATTTGGTCACAAGAAGGTGAGAATGTCTAATGTTTGGGATTAAAATGAAAGAGCCCATGAAATAGTGCATAGTGCAATAGTGCATGTCTGTTAGTTTTGAGAACCTATAAATGTTAAAAACTAAACAGTTAAAACATTCTTCAAAGTATCTTCCTTAGTGTTCAGCAGTAGAAAAAATTTAATGACTGAGTAAAGTTAACAGAATTTAAATTTGGAGGGTCTTTTTAACCCTCATGTTGTGCTTCAGACTTTTTGATCTAGAGAGGATTTTTTTTCTTCCTGAAAATGCAAATTAATATGATCACATTGGACTTTGCTCAGCCTCCTCAGCCTCCAATATATATATATTTTTTTTTCCCCCCATCTTGTTACACTTGTGGTGTTCCCAGTCAAAAATGACCAGCAGACAAAAAAATTGTTTATAAATTTCTTATGGAATTTCTTGTTTCTTGTTATATTCTTATTATTACCAAATATTGGATTTAGTCTTTTTATCAACTTGTTTTCTTTCAATTAGCACAGGTTTTATATTTCTCTTTTAAACTGATTGATTGTATGCTCCATTGATCTGAGTTTATGCCCTAATGCACAACTATCCACAAATAATGCTTTTATTCACTCAAAAACAAAGGTGCATAAGTTCAGATCAATGAGGCTTATGAGCAATCGATTCAAAATCATAATACAAAACCTGTGCTAACTGAAAGAAAACATGAAAGTAAATAAATAATCCAAGATTTGGAGATAATATAGCATAATGAGAGATTCACAGGCAATTTTGCTGGTAATTTTTTACCAGGAACACCAAATTAGGTAAAGGATTTTCAGCACAGCACGAGGGTTGAATTAAAAAGGGTTTGATTATGTAATAGCAGACCTTTCCTAAACAAGCTACAAGCTTTGAGATGTCAGACATGTCAATGGTGTGGCCAAAAATTTAATACTTAATGTAAGATATTTTTTCAAATCCCCAAGTGCTCGCCTTAGCAAAAACCACTAATGAGCATAATAAGTGTACCTTAAGCCATTATTACTGGCAGACAGATCATGCTACACTACATAAATACGTCAAATTAAAGATCATGACATAAGAATGTGGCATAAGACCATCTTGTCCTTATGTTCCTAATTAACTCAATAAATAAAACAGCATCTCACTAAACGCATCTGTTACAATCCAATCACAGTGTGCTTGTCTGAATTTGGTTTTGTGTAATCAAAGTAACAATTCGAAAAATTTCCCTTTAGGTGTTCCTATCAGCGGAGAACTGATTGCTGATCTTTACTGCTGTATGGTGCATTAGTGCATACTGACATTGATGCAACTGAACAACACATGTGGATGTTAGGCATTATTTGCCAAAAACTGTGCATGAGATAAACAACAGATGGCCATGTTTGTATGCAGTCGTGCCTCACTTGTTATATTTACCATTGAACACACCCCCGATCATCAGGCTTTGCTTCCATGAAGTATTTATTCTCTCCTGAATGGTAGAGATGCACAACAAATTGTCCTCTAAAGACAGGGAGTTGGCATGTGGCGGTTCGAATGACATCCTGTTTATCTGTCTGCATTGCAAGTGTGAAGCTCAGTGCTTGGTAGAGGGACATAACTGCTGGAATAAGCTGTTGAGGATGAAAGCGATTGGATGGTGCAGGTTTGGAATAGCTATCAAAAATCGCATGGCATGATTTGACAAGCCAGGATTTTACTGTGCTGATATACTGTATTTCATATTGAAACTGGATGTTGTGGTGAGATATATTGACGCACCGACATGTCTCTGAGTGCTGGATGAGTCGTCAATATTTTTTATTTGTTTTACTGAAAAAGAAAGAGTGCAAGTTTTAAATGTGTCTGAACCAAAATAACCATATAAATTAATTAAAATAAGTGAACGTTAAGGAGATAAAATGTATAAAAATACACTCATGAACTTACAAAGATGGTGGGATTCAATATATAGCTAAAGAATAGAATATCGGAGACTTGAATTTGGGCTCTTGGGCCAGTTAGTAACCGCCTAGCAACCACCCATAACACCAGCCCTGTTGAAAAAAACCAGCATATGCTGATTTTTTCAACAGGGATAGTAACTGCATAGCAATGTACTAAAAGCTACTGTGAACACATCTCATAGTAGCATGGTTAAATCTACACTAAACATTAGCAACCTCATAGTAACATGCTAAAATCTACACTAAACATTAGCAACCTCATAGTAACATGCTAAAATCTACTACGAACATGTTAGCAACCTCATAGCAAAGAGCTAAAATCTACACTACGTTAGCAACCTCACAGTAACACATTTAAATCTACTCCGAACATGTTAGCAACCTCATAGGCTATAGCAAAGAGCTAAAATCCACACTATATTAGCAACCTCACAGTAACCCGTTAAAATCTACTCCGAACATGTTTGCAACCTCACTGAACACGTTAGCAATGTCACAGAAATTTAAAAAATCACCACTGAACACACCACCTCATAGCAACATGCTAAAATCTACATTGAACACATTAGCAACCTCATAGTAATATGCTAAAATGCACTTCGAACACATTAGCAAACTCGTAGTAATGTTAAAAATCTACACTGTACATGTTAGCAAAAATTACAATTTTGTTCTTCTCTTAAACTGTGTTTTTTGACTGGTAATAAGAGCTGGTCAAAACCCGCAGTTACATTTTTCATTCTTGTCATGTCTGTGATTGCAGGAGGGTCTCGGGAACAGCATCAGGCCGGATAATCTTTCAAAACCTTGCTCACTTCCTGCCAGACAAGAGGGTAACGATACCCAAAACAGTGGTAGAGAGGGAGACAAATTGGACAAACAGCTGGGCTTCAAGAGAGCAGGATGTGTGTGTCGAGGACAGGAAAGCTGAGGAGGTACGCACAAAACTGGCAGCAGGGAATGTCACGATCTTGATTGGAGTGATAATTTCTTCCTTCATGCCACAACATCCTGAATTCAAACATACCAATATAAACCCCAATATTTCTGTATAAACAGCAATTTATATAATTTGAAATAATTTCTGCACATTTCTGTACCTCCTCCAAACAAACATGTCTAAATGGAAAGATTTTTATTGCTCATTTATATCGGTAAGTAGACATAATGGGAATATTGATTGTTTAATATAGCCTTTCTCGGATGTTCCTCCTAATTGATTATGAAAAAGACACAAATGAGATGATATTGGAAAGAACAATGGATGTTGTTGTTTATAAACATCTCAGTTGAACAACAGCTCAGCTAGGGCAGGAAATCCTCACTCGGCAACTATTACAAGCAATCACAAGGTCCAGTCAGAATCTGACCAATCAGATTTGAGGATTAATTGAACTTCAAATTCCTGCTTAAGGTAAGACAAATGAAAGTTGCTACAAAGGTTGATATGTTTTTATATTTCTTTAATGTATTTTTAGAGCAGTATATAAGTATATTTCACCCAAAAATGGCAAATGTTTACTCTCTCATGTGGTTTCAAACACTCACACTGTTATTAAGGAGAAATTCTGGAGGAGAAACAGTGAAATTCTAAAACAGTGAATCTGTTCAGCCATATTTAGGATGTCCCACAGAGCACAAGGGCTCATTAACCAGACTCTGAGGAATTCTTGAGATGCAAACTGCAGCCTTCTCATATTGGCCAGTGAGAGTCCTATGCGCGAGTAAGTATATGATGTTAAAAGTGGTTTATGGAGTAAAGAGAGGAAAACTGTTTATAAGAGTGCTTTATCTCTGAGGAGCAAGAGAACTACTCATGTGAGAAGCACGAGAATGTGTCTTTCTCTCCTTTTCCCTCCGTTTTCTAAAAATGATCCTTCTAACCTTCATGGAATTTGAAAGCTAGCCAGCATAATTTAATCAATTTGCATCTATAATGGTGGAAAGCGGCTTTGATCTTAAAGTGAGCAAGTTATGAGGCGCTCAGTGTTATTGTTGCTTGACTGAAGAATTGTGGTCTAGACACCTAACATTAATGATATCAAGGCTTAAAAAAACACCTTTTTCCCACCTGTTCATGATAAGAATAACGGCTTTAAAGAAGTTACATTGTGTTACATTTTCTCTCTTCTTTTTAGTAGGCAAGCACATAAAGTTTTGTTATTATTGTTTTAAAAGGTTTTGGAGGGTTTTTTTCTATTGTTTTGTTATTAAAACTTAATAGATCTTCACTACATTACCAGTTCATTTTCAGACTGCTGGTTAAAAGTTATTAAAAGCCTTTTGATATTACAAATTGTTTGCATATAAAACATTGAAAATGTAATTGATCTGAGGCTGTATCTTTGCAACAACAGTATTGACAGTAACAGTATTGACACAAAACTTTCTATATATCAGTCACAATGCCCTGCCCCATACCCTATCAATTCAGTCATAGCACCACCTATTGGTTAGAAGTTAAACTGTGTACTGTGACTATTCAACCATTTTTCCTAAACTCATTTTTTATGGATGCCATATTGAATCAAATTTAAAGCCGCAATTTCCTTCTTAAGGCTTAGCATGATCTTCAAAGTGAAAACCTCTTTAACCCTACAATGTAAAATCTTAGTTTTTTATATTATTTTGTTAGGCAGTGATAACGATTCCAATAAAAAGTTTGAAAGAGTTTTGATAGTAAAATGCTCATGTGTTAGGACTGTTTTACATACCATATGGTTTATGGTTTCATTTTCAACACGTTCTTTGTCAACTTCTGAGAATGTTCTGGGAAGCAGCACAACACTGCTCACATGTTCAGTGTGAATGTAACCTGTTATATCGGCCTACAATTACACAGCAAATGCAGAATGTGTGAGATGATGATGTGTCTTTTCTTTTCATTGAAAGACTTGGACAGATTTTCTCATCATTAATGCAACACAAGTATTTGATTTACTCAGACAGAACTTATTCACTTGTACTATGTATTGTATATTCCATACACAACTCTCCATGGTGGTTCCGAATGCTAATGAATCCTAATATTTATTTGAAACTGTTGCCCAGTTTTGACTGGGTGAACATCATTCTAATATGACACATCATTCATCTTTCTAGCAGTTTATCTTTTGCTGATGCATCAGGCTTCCGAAATGTTTCAAATAATTATTTTTTCATTGAAAGACTTGGACAGATTTTCTCATCATTAATGCAACACAAGTATTTGATTTACTCAGACAGAACTTATTCACTTGTACTATGTATTGTATATTCCATACACAACTCTCCACGGTGGTTCCGAATGCTAATGAATCCTAATATTTATTTGAAACTGTTGCCCACACATCATTCATCTTTCTAGCAGTTTATCTTTTGCTGATGCATCAGGCTTCCGAAATGTTTCAAATAATTATGTTAAGAGCGTCAGTTAAGATCAATCTTGCACAAACGTTTTCTTGTACAACTGAGGACTTTTGCATTTTAAGACTAATGGGTATTAATTTTGTCATGTTTTTGCAGACCTTGGCCTTGATGTAATTTTTTGTACTTCTCTATCCATCATTTAAACCTGTGTAACCTTTTACCACAAAGCACTTTGAAGAATTGGAAGATAAATGAAGACCCATAGACCTTTCAAGCTCTTGAGCACTATAGACTATATAGATGATCTTTACATTAAAATGGGACTTGAATGAACTCATGTATTTTAATACCATAGAGAGGAAGAGAGACAGAATGGCATATGAGATCAAGAGATCAATTCTCACCCAAGGTAAGACTAATGGAAGCTGTTTTAAAGTTTGATATGTACTTATATGACAACCACTCTGTAATTAGAGCACTGTGTATTTCTTCAACCAGCAATGGATTTCTAAAAAAAACACAACACAATTTCTAGGGAATGTAAATTCAGTGAATCATGTGCCATCCTGATGTTACATAATTTTTGAAACATATGCTTGAAAAGAGATCAATTCTCACCCAAGGTAAGACTAATGGAAGCTGTTTTAAAGTTTGATATGTACTTATATGACAACCACTCTGTAATTAGAGCACTGTGTATTTCTTCAACCAGCAATGGATTTCTAAAAAAAAACACAACACAATTTCTAGGGAATGTAAATTCAGTGAATCATGTGCCATCCTGATGTTACATAATTTTTGAAACATATGCTTGAGTGTAAAAGATGTTCCCAAATTGCCAAATTTGAGAAAAATTGAGAAACTGTTCATTATTAATATGTGGTCCATAACCAGAGAGAAATGAGATTTCATTCTGTTGTTTGATGCTGACTCTGTCTGGAGGTTCTCAGAGCTTCAGCTCCCCATGAAGAGATCACCTCAGGCCAGTGGTGTATAAAGTACCTGAAAGCCGTAGTCGAGTAAAAGTACAGATATCTTACCAGAAAATGACTTTGGTAGAAGTTGAAGTCACCGTTTTGAATATTACTTGAGTAAAAGTCTTAAAGTATGTGATATTTATTGTACTTAAGTACGAAAAGTATTTTTAAAATCTTAAACGTACTTAAGTATTGAAAGTAAAAGTACAAATAAATGCAAAATGGAAAAGAAGCAAATAAATATATATAAAAATGTTCATACACAGCTTGAGTAGCAAGATTGTGTTTGGTTTTAACTCCTTCTTCCATTTTGTATTTTTGGGTAAGAATACGAAGCACTTCATCCGGTACTTAGTGTCTTTCATTCCAACATAAGAAAACATTTCTGGAATCTCCATCTGAAATAGCATTTAGATGTATTTACACGGTTTATGTATCTCAGAGGGGACATGGATGCATTTAAACTGCAGTTACAGATTAATAAATAGGCCTAATGTTTTGTTTTTAACATAAAACGTTGAATACTGATATTTGAAATAATTTAAAACATGAAAAAAATAGTCGAAATGTGAAATTAAAACCACCAGTAGGTGACAGCAAGTGACTGTTAAAGAGTGAGTCATTGAGATTCAACCGATTCATTCAAACGAATGATTCATTCAGAAACAAAGGATTTGACTGTGTAAATGAGTGAATCACTTAATCAGTTATTCAACTGATTCGTTCAAAAAGCCGATTCATTCAATAATAAACACCATCCATTGCTTTGCTAGATGTGAGGTATACAGTCAGTCTTGGCCTTTTTTCTTTAAATGTGAAGTTTGTAATTTTTGTGGCACAAGAGGCACCAACTGTTTTCAAACAGGTTTCCTTAACTCCCCTATCAAACAAACCGATAACCACGCCCCCAAACCCACGCCATTGGTTGAGCTAGTGTTGCTATGCTGAACTAGACGGACAGAAAAACAAACAGAGGAATGTTTTGAAAACACCACAGAGACACTCTGTGCCCAAATATGTCTACTTCCCTACTATAAAGGTGAAAAACAGAATATAAAAATGGCAGTCTGTCCAAATTCATAGTATTCATAAAACAGTAGGCAGAAAGTACCTGGATGACCTACTGTACTACTACTTCCGAAGTTCATAAGTGCGCATCCAATGGACAATTTAATATACCATGAGGCCTTGAGGGACAGTTGTGAATGGCAGTGAAGCGATGCAACTGACACTGTAAGTCACATAACAATGACAAAATTGCAAATGTTGTACATCTAAACAACATTCATACTATACAGAACACATTAACTGTCACAAAATAAGTTCTTCATCAACTGTAGTACCTACTCAGTATATGCAATTTTGCAGTGTTTATACTTCTTGAGGAAATCAACCTACTTATGGTTATCCCCGCATATTACACTGGGAAAGGGAAAAGTATTTTCACTTTAAAAAAGACAGATGAGCGCTAATGTTAATTAGTGCTGCTTGCTTATTGTCGTTTTCGCATCAGTCTTCACATTAACCAGAATCACATGCCAAACTTCATACATTTTAATTCAAATAAATGACTTCTTGTCTGCGCTTTGTGTTGGATCTAACTGTGCACTGGTACAGATATCCCGCGCTTGTCTGCCTTGTACTGCACCACGAACCATTGTGAGCATGAGGAGAATATATTTGCATGAAATTAAACAATTGGTGGACAGATCAAAATATATTACACTGCTAGCGGTTAGTGTAAGGTAATTACTTTCAAGAGGGTGGGAGGAGGATGGGGGGCAGATGGTTATGCTTTTAATTTGAATGAGACTGATTAAGTTTCTGTAACTTAAATTAAATGGCTTGTTTAGTTATCTGTGCAAGGAGAACAGGTGCTTTGAGGTCAGAACATAATATTGGAAATTTGCTCAGATAATTATGAATTAATCCCTGTAGTCATAATTTGTGTGAACAAGAATAAAGTTTTTGGTGTTTTGCTGCCACAAGTGGTCATTTCAGTTGAAAGCTGCAGTGAATTCGATTTTTTGATTGTAATGTATTTTGGAGTTTTGCAAAAATAGTAGAGGCATGTTTTTCCAATGAGCCTTGGGAGAAAGCAGTCTGTAAGCATTCTCATTTATCTCAATGGGAGTAGCTCAGCTTGACACCTTGTTTGCAAACCATCTAACCTGAGTAATTTGATATATTTCTGAATGAAACCAGGTATTCAACAGAAAAAGAAGGGCATGACATGATTTTATCCACTGAAATTTATTGCAGGGGTTTTCAATTACTTAATGCCAAGGACCACCAAATGATCCCCTTGTGAGGGACCTCCATATAACAGGTGGTTGGAGGGGAGGGGCTAAAAAAATAAGGGGGCTTGGTGATGTCAGCTGAACAGGAAAGTTGTTTTAGAGGTGGAGAAAGTGATTACATTTTAATGAAAGATTGTGAAGACAGCTCTTGGAAATTCAGAATCGCACAAAGAATGTCAATATACAGTATATTTGATTTGATTTCACATTGACTTTGAGTCATGATAAATAAGACACTCAAAAATGGACGAAGCCATGGTGAAGCCAATTAGACCTTGTTTGGGTGGTATTAGGCATACTGCAGACCTCACATTCATGATTACCATAGTCAAATAATCTTATCTGTAATGATGTCTTCAACATATTGTGATAAAACAGTTTTATAAACACTGAATGTCATTAAAGCCTGACAACGTCTCACATGGAAAGCGCAAGTTAATTTTCCTCACAAATTGTGGAATAATGAACTAGACCGAGATCTTATGTCCCTGAGAGTGATGCTTCATATTGTGTCTGTCTAATGGGCTCCTGTTGCTGTGGAAACAACATTATTTTTATCTGGATGAATGGAGTTCCATTATATACTTCCCCTTGGTTAGTAAGTCCACCAACACCAAGAGAGAGGTTTTACAAAAAATAGCAATAATAACAAAAGAGAAATATGAAAAAAAGGAATTGCAAGGTTGAATTCTTTTCTGCCTCACTAGCTAAGGCCAGTGAAATATGTCAAAACAGGACTATAAAGCAAGAACTACAAACTGAAAAAGACAAGGACAAAGAAAATTAGAAAAACAAGAACCTATTGAGCCATTAACATCAAACTAAATATAAAGCACTGTATCTGTTTATTTTTCAGAATCACTTTGGCGTTGGAGCAAAGGTGAGTGAACATGTGGCCAGGTGTGTTCTGTGAAACAGCCTTCATTTCAGAAATAAAAGGATAAATGAGTATTTCCTTCCTTTTTGTTCAGTGTGCACTCAATTGAAGTTTCTCAAATCTCTGATGACGCACAAGGGTGAACGGCAGTAAATCATTATCTGGTGCACAGGGTCATTTAATTGTTTAAATGTTTCTGTTCAGTAAAGAAATATAACGTGTGAGTCATTCATACATTAGGAAAATGATAATTCACAGTCGACTGGTAGACTGTACATTAGCCCTCATATTACACAGCTACACAGCAGTTGCATTTGTATGAAACGAGAATGCAAGTCCATGGTTATACGAGAGACATGAATGTAGTGTGGTTTCAGGTAAGGCTGGAAATCCATTACACAGAAAGTCATGTTCACAGAATCACGTTATTACAGTAAAGGAAGTATAATGTTCCTTCAATTTTGTCTGATCTTTAAGAACATTCTCAAAACGTTAGCACAAAAAATTATTTCTACTTTGTTTATGGAATGTTTTTCAGAAACATTTTAGTTGGACGTTTCTAAGTAACATTCACATAACCAATAAAAAAAAGTTTTTTTTTTTACATTTTTAAAAATTGGACATTTTGAACATTCAGAAATAATATTTTCATAACTTAATGAGAACATTCGCAAAAAGTTCTTAGAACATATTTTGTTAGCTGAGTTAGTGTTTTTCTCTGCAACCATTTACAAAGTCGGGAAGTGTATGATGCCTGTTTTAAAATCTGTTCAGAAGTTGTGAAGAATATTCCAGTTTTTACCAGATGAGCGGATTAGGAAACATTATCCCACAGGACGGCATGATGGACCAATAAGAATCGAGTATTCCTGAGCATTGCCTAACAACAAACAAAAAGTAATCCAGTATTGCCATGCATCAATTGAACCTGAGTGTAAGATTTAACAGCTGTTAAGGGATGTTGCAACAAGAAATTATAACAAGCAAATTAAAACAACTTTAAGTGGTGTCTTTTTGAGACGGTATTGACTGTACATTAGAATCTAAATCCCAATACTGGTATTATCTTGTTGCACAAGTTGATTTGCATATCCTGAAGGAAATGTAAGTGCTTGCAAATCAATAAAGTTAAGGTAAGTGTAGATTTTAATGCTTTGGTTCTGTGTAAATTAAGTGTTTCTGAAGTTAAGTTTTAAATTGGCCTTTTCTGGAAGACTAATTACACTGGAGAAAGCAATATTATGGATAGA